ACAGCAGCTGCAGAGCTGTGCACGCCAAGTGCAGCAGGACGTGGCTTCTCCTGCACCACAGCAAACATCAGCCTCTTCAACCAAGTCATTACTTTCATCCTTAGAGAAGTTATTCACACATCTATCCAAATCCTTGGCCCACAGGTATGGCTGCTGACATAGCCAAGGACAGCTCGACACCTCTGATAGCAGGGATAGATGTGACCTCTTAAGATCTGCCAATCTCTTGCATCACCCAAAATAAACATCAGGATGTGCTGGAAGGAGCACAATTTAGCGAACAGAACTCCATAATTCTGAGTCCTTGTCCAAGTTTCACCATTCATTTGCTGCACTTCTCTCTGCTATGTGATAGAATCTCTGCCTTCATATTCAAGTATCATCTCTGTTTTCTTCCAGCCTGTACAGTTTGGGGGATGAGATCTGTCAAGCACCAGAACATATTAAGCACTGGCACTTCCTCAGAAACAATGGCCAGCAAGAGATTGGGAAAAACTCAGCATCTTTTTAATCCCACTTCCATGACAATCAGGAGCATTAAAGCAAATTAACATTGTGTCAAGAGTTTTGAATTTTCTCTTTTTAATCTTACCTTAATTTCACAGGAATACTATTTTAGAGGTAGCTGTTTAACATTGCCCTCTTAAGAAGCTTGAGTATCTGCCAGAACTTGGTTGCAGTAACTTCATACAGGTGTGGGTATACTCATCTCTATTTCTGCCCTTTTGTGCCACTCCAGACAGAAACCTGTCTCGAACATGAGGTAGAAATTAATCATCCACGGAAAAATCACAGAGCAGCAAAGCATGGTAGACCTACCCAGGGGCTTTTGATACTCACTCAGTCTAGAGCATATTTGGGACTGCAAATAAACTCTCAGCTTGGATCCTCAATGCCAGTACAGAAGCTGGTGACTCCAACCTCTCCTGAAGACCATAACAGGGAAGGCACAGAGGCTGGTGACTGACATCTCTCTTGTTGTTACACCTAACACATGGAATACTCATTTATCCGGAACTATCACATACCTGACTGTTTGCTTGCTTAAGGCTGACCAAGCAGTTAGGAAGACACGTGGCAGCACTAGATGAATTCTTTTGATTTTGTCTTCACCATGGTAAAGAAGATGGAGTTATCTATATTGGAGGTGACCACAAAGGAAAGTAAAGAAAAAGCAGCAAACTCCATAATATTATACTGTAGGAACAAAGCCCCAGCCCCAATATGGATCAGCTCCACGCTGAGCTGGGAGTTTGAGAAACAGCCCCTTTGAAAAAATACATTAAAAAACGGAGGGGACAACGGGGAGGCTGCATACAGCAGAGGAGAGACCCTTGCATCTAGACAAATTCAGTTGCCCTACTTTAAAACTGCAGGCCAGCTCCTGATTTAACCTGGAGTTTCACATGTCACTACAAAACTCTGGAAGTGTTGGCTTTGCAGACATGCCAAACATGAGAACTGTTTTGAGTGAACTCGGTATTTTTCCACATCTACTATTGTAACCCTGCTGGCAGGCTGGGAGTAGCAAATCCTCCCTTATCTCCCTCCTCTCTGAGAGCATCTCTCTGTTTAAGCACCGGCTAACTTAGATCATCATGCACAATCCCCCCTGGAAAAGGGACAAAGAGGGGGGTGGGAGAGTCACTGGGATTGTAAGCAACAAACCACAGAAGGAGACGGGCTGTCGTGCAGAAGGGAAGTAGCAAGGGGAAAGAGGCGACTAATGAACAGAAGGGGGTGCGTAAAATCCTACTTGGATTGCCTCTCTGGGGAGCAGCTGTTTCCTTGTAAACATCTTGCTAGCTGTCCAAACAAGAAGTTCAGACACAGAGCAATAAAGGAGAGCACCCGGGTAGAAGCGTGAAAGACATGGGCTCATTCACTACCCTGCCAATTGCTCCAAGTGGCAGAATTCAAAAGCTGGAGAAACATCAGCCATACGTTTAACCCTGCACGTGCTAGTGTTACGGCCAACGGCCTGCAGAAACACACCCTGCTCTATCTGTGGTGAAATCCCTCCTAGTCCTCCTTTCACCCCGCTGTTTCTGACACACCAGCAGAGCACATTACTTAACAAAGGAAAAGAGGAAATATCCTCATCAAGGCAAGGAGAAACAGCCGCCAAGCCAAGAAATGAAAAACCTGAACGTGGCAGCCCTGAAGGCCTAGAAAAGTTTACCACTGCCCTGGCATCAGCCACTTAGAAGTAGAGGGAGTTGCACCAGAAAAAGTAGAAAGAGTCTTTTTATTAGTCCTGAGCACAAAACAGCCTACACTGGCAGAAGCATTTCTATGCCAGTACAACTGTGTCCACATAGGACTCTTGCCAGCACTGCAAGGTAGCTGCAGACAGGGAAAGGAATACTAGCACAGCCGTGCCAGTAAACAGTCCTAGGGCAGGCTGGCCACAAAAGGCAACTACCTGCACTGCACAGCAGTGAGCAGAGACTGTGCACCTTCGTCCATTCCTTGATGCTTCTGGGGGTCAAACGCACACGTGCCCAGTCACAAGCCTATCCAATAATCCCTGTCTCCAAAATGTCACACAACCATTAACAAACGAGTGCAATCAAATCACACCCGCATCTCCAGGAAAGGGAGGGTCACGTTGCAAGGAAGGCAGTTCACAGGGCAGTAGGACACCATAACTGACAATAAGGGAAACCTATGTCCTGAGCCTACAGTCCAGTTATCTACACCTCCATGTCCACCTCCCACTGACCTACCTTGACTTTTACACATTCTATTCAGTGCAAACTACACATCCTAGGAAATGAAATGCCTCCTACTTTTACTCAAAACCCACAGAAGCAGGAAGAAGGTAAGCATAATGACACTCTCATAGTCAGAAACAACAAACAGCAATTCCACATTTTAGAAATAGCTCACAAGTTCACAGAAAAGACCTGATGCATTCATATTTATTTTACCTTTTTATTTCTTTAGGGCCATTTTGTTGTAGTTGTGTACAAACAGCCAGGAAAAAAAGACACCTAGCAAGGGCCGCTCAAGAATAAACATTCAGTCATTACAAGATGGGAAGAGTGCAAGTTCTGCTGATCAAAATCCCTTTGAGCCTAAAGAAAGGCAGCTGGCTTGTTGCATCAAAGTCCAAACCAATCGGGGACTCCACCTCGTCTGGGGTCACCTTTCTGCCTCAGCTTCTCTCTCTCCATATATTTATCCTTGAAGTCATCAAAAGAGCGAGTTTCTGTGTCTTGTTCTTTCTCTGGAAATAGGTTGGGAAACTGAAAGGTTTGTCCTTGGCCCTAAAGAGAAAACAAATGGTCAGAGAGACATTCCAGCCTTTCTGCAGTAGCTATGATGCATAAACTTACAATGAAAGACCACCCTGGAGTTTCAGCTAGTGCAGAATGGTACCTCTTACCTCCCAAGATCTCTTTCCACCCCTCTCCCCAAGATACACATATATGCCTCCCCCCCCAAAAAGCTAACTTTCAGCCTCTCTTCTCTTGTGTACTAATTAAGACACTGACATCAGTTTATTTTTTTTATAGATGAGTGGTCAGGAAACAGACACCTTGTCAAAGATTTTGAACCAGCTCAGAGATGGTGTATGAGTAATACAGCAAAAGCAAGATGAGCAAAATAAGTGATTTTGTTAAAGTAACACCATCAGGGAAATACATGGTGGAGCAGGCACTCATCATGTTAACACTGAGGATATGGGGAGTGGCTATAGTTGTTTAGATCCCAGCTAAGGATAAGAGAGAACAGTCTTAGCAGCTGTTACTGTAGGATGTAATGTGGGAATATGGAATAACAGATATTAGAGGTCTGTTATCAACAGGAATAAAGAACTATAGTGTGAAACAATTACAGTGGGAACAATCTAATACATCACTGATGAGATTAAAGTGATTACATCTGCATCAGTCACTCTGCCGAACAGACAAGTCATTCAGGGAAACATCATCATCAGATCTATGTCTCCCACTTGGAAAATATTTGCTTGGTCTCTGGGTTTTATCTAACAGCAGGAAACCATTATTCTGTGGAAATGGTCTATCCCATTAACATTATCTACTTACTTTATAGTGGTGTTTGCACTAAGCACAACTTCATTAAACTCAACAATACCAGCCCTTCCATTCAGTATGGGAATTTGCATAATAAAACTTGTAACTGATAGCTCATAACTTCAGTATTACTCTCCAAAACACTTAGAAATCTTACCATACATTAGCTTCTTTGGCAGAATTCCACATAGAGAAATCTCAACAACAGCCTTTAATTGCTCCAGATGAAAACATATTTTTTTTTCAGATTAGCCATTCTTTACATTTGTGCAATAAATATAATCAAACAAGTGGCGCAGTTATTAAATAGTTCCACAAAGGACATGAAAGGAGCCTTCCACAAAACGCTACCTATACTACATTTTGGGATCTCATATGTGACATAATTAAATCCAAAAAAACCCAACCATCACCATGCCCCTGACCCAGCTGAATGTGTGCTATGTTTCATTTAGCCATATACACTCAACCTGGTAATTTACAGGTGTGAAAGAATTTAAACCTCAAGCATACACTTTGGAAAAAAAAAAAAAAAAAAGGATGTATTATAAGAAAGAAATTATTTAAAAAAAAGGGGGGGGAATAAAGGAAAACTAGCGTTTCATCAGCTTTTTCTTCATTAAAAAGCTGCTTGGGAAACATCCAACCTGCTCTAAGGAGCTTCAGGGTTTCGGGGAAATGCCTGGCTGAAGGGTCTCTGATTTTTTCCCCCAATTCCTCCCCCCCCCT